ATTATTGCTAATTTTAGTGCTTCGAAACAGCGGCCGGATTCGAAGCACTGCAATAGATATCACTATTTGAGAAAGATATATGATGAGAATTTAATCATATGTGACACTAAACTGTTGGCTCAAAGTTATAATAAATCTTAAGCTGTTTACATAGTTTTCGTATATTCATTTCAAGATTTCCATGGCGTCCTCCTGTACAGGTATGATGGGGCGCAGCTGATGATACTACGGGGCGTCGAGAACCTCCGTCGGTGTGCTTGGATCGGCGAGGAAGACTCCAGAGAAGAGGAAGATGAGCTGGAAAATGAGGAAGCGTCAGAGAATAAAGAAGGGATAAAAGGAGAGGAAGGGGAATGGGAAGAAATGAAGGAAGAGGAGGCAAATCAAGAACATGAGATGAATGCAGAAGGGGCAAACGTGAACGGTCTCCCGATGCCAGAAAAGAAAATTCCTGAATCCGCTGAACAAGAGGATGATCAGCCCGCGATCGTGGATAAGGTGCAGCGGGACCCGACGAACCACAGCGAGCAGACTAATGGCGATGAAGCGGACGAGATTTTACGAGCAAGTCTGGATGAAACATATCCCAGAGGACAAGTAGACACATCAGAAGAGAGGCGACAGGACCTGCAGCATCTGCTGAGGCAGGCGCTGAGCATGAGCAAAGACAAGAAAGAAATCTTACGGATCCTTCATTCGGTGGGGCGTGAAAGGGATCAGCCGCTTCCTCAAAGGATCCAGCAGATCCTTGGGGTGACGCCCACAAGCAGCCCCAGCCGGCGTAGATTTCAGCCGCAATTGTCTTTACTCAGGCAAGAAAGAGCTATTGGTATGGAAAATGACGATAACGCACACGAGGTTTTTGACGAGGAGGAGCCTACTCAGCCGACCAAAGTTGCTGTGAAAAGGCCATCGGAAAACATCGAAAAAATCGTGGGCGGCCAAATTTTCCTCCCCGAGGGACTCAAGTTCGAGAGAGGAAAGTTTAACCAAACGACTGCCAACGACGGCTCGGATGAGGAGAACGTGTCTTCATACTCGAGCAGCGAAGAGGCGCTGGCCAGCTGCGAAGGCGTCATCATGTCCCTCCCGCTGGTCTCCTACCGCGGGTGCAATATTCGCTGGACAGAAATCAACAAGTTCACCTACGACATCCCCGTCACTGGGACTTATTACTTTGTCTTTTCTAGTGAGAACGAGATAAATGAAAACAAATTATTCTTCAACATAACGTTCGAAAGGATGGTCTACGACACAACAAAATCCGCGACCGTGTGCGAAAACAAAACGGAGTGCCTAGTGCCCTTGTCCTTCTGGTCGAACGAGCGTGCCGTGGTGGAGGTGCCAGAGGAAAGCACGTGGGATCACTCCTATGTCATGGATACCACATGTGAGCCGCGTGTGGCCGTTTACCTCACTTTCATCCTTCTTGTGCCATTTGTAATACTTATCTGTGCTTTCCAATAGCCTTTTAACTTCCAATAGATTTTTATATTCTTTTGTCATCTCAGTTATGTCTTCCACTTGAGTGCCTTCACAGTGTCTTAGCATAAATCGGTGGTTCTCACGTGCCTTCAGTGCACGAGTCTTGTATATATATAAGCAGCTACTCTTTCCACTTTGGTTAGTCTTGGGTTTGAAACTGTATCAGGCAATGCAAGTGTAGTTGATGTATCCATTATTTTTAAGGAGTTTCTTTGTCCCATTTCAGCTACAATATTATTTATCTTTTTTTTATTTATTCAGTGTTTCCAAATGATCTCATTCGACCATGATTCGTGTCTTTTTTATAGTATCAATCAAAAGTTGAATCATTTAAATAACTGCACATCAGAAAAATAGTTTCGAAGGGAATGGGATAATGTTCCTTAAGTGAAGCATATTAAAGGATGAATACTCATTTTACCCTTGAGCAACATGCAAACCAGTCTTGAGTTGTGGAATGTGTTAAGCAATATAGTGCTGATATGTTAATGTTCCCTCTTGGATATCGTGTAAATGACTGTGGTTTGTTGACTAATTTTTCTTATGAGTATGTAAAAAGGCTGTGCGAATTAGATATAGTTTGTTTCTGTAGTTCCAATGTGTAACGAGTTAGTAGATACTACTCTCTTGGTCTTTATGCTTCCTTACCTGAACTTCCTATAAAATTATTTATTCTAAGTAAGGAAAATATTGTTCCTTTGCTGCGAAAGGCCAGTAATTTATGTTCATCTTTCGATCATGTATGTATGGTCAGTACTGTGGATTCACGGATGAAAACAGTTTCTAGTCTTTGTAAATATGAAGATATTTTACTGTAGACTGTACAGCTTTTATATCAAATAATTAAATTCTAGACGGGTGGCCCAAGTGCCAACGCTAGTTCTGCTATTTACTGGAACAGGAACAATGTAGTCTACTTATTCATATGGCACATGTGCATTAAAGCTCGCGCGCGTGCGCGCGCACACACACACACACACACACACAAAGTGATACAATTAACAATAAACACTATACAGTCAAACCTAGTATATTAGTATTTTGTGATGTCCATGTGAACTTGATATAAATGTTTGTTCACTACGCTTCCTTGCAGGATAAGTTTTCCGTTTTATGGAGAAACGCTAAAATTTCTATGTGCCTTATCCTTTTTATAATGTGCAATAATATATATGTATACTAAATATAAGACTTTTTAAAATAAAATAAAGTAAGATTAAATCACGTTTTATTTCATCAGTTTGCCTCTGCCTCCTAACACCGGAACCATCAGCAATATGCTTATGATCCAATTGCAATTCCTGAATGGAACTAACCACTAAAGATGGGCAGTGCTTTTGATACACACGAATGCATAGTCACAACGAAAGTCGCGTCTCAAAGTTTCATGACCGAATGCGAATCATGTACGTACACCCACGAAAAGACAGCCTGGCAGTTTTGCAATCGCCCGTGCGTGGCTGGAGGTTTGTTGTAACCAAAGTAAAAGAGGCGGAGAGCGGGAAAGGGAAGGGGGGGGCGGGGAAAAAGTAGTGAGACGACAACATTGGATAAGGAAGAACCTGGGAGCGATAGATGTAAATGCTTGGTATTTTAATGCCAATATTGTTATTTTCAATATTGTCATCGTTACCTCCGTCTGTCTCTTTCTTTCCGAGACCAACACAGGGCCGGATCCAGGGAGCGTACGCCCCCTTATTTTTGGCAGAGTAATGATTTTTTTAGACCAGGAATTCTTTACACATCGTCAGGGAAAGACGTGGGATATAGGTAGGCAAAGTCCCAGTCAGCAATAGAAGGGATAATTGATAGAAACTATCCCGCTTAGGCTTCGTGCCGTCGGCACTCGCAATCGTCTCGGCTAGGGGTTACGCCCCCCTTTCTGACAATCCTGGATCCGGCCCTGTAACAGAACCGGCCTCCCTCTATTATACGACACAATGTGAATTCCGAAAAAAGTGATCCATTTCGTGGCCTGTAAAAATGCGGGTAGGATGAAACGATTGAGATAATTATTTGGTAAAATATATAGACCAGAATTACTGAAGGCATCCCAACCGTTTACAAGGAAGGAGACACAAAGAACTTAATTCCTTACTTCCTAAGCCATACTTAAAGGTGTTTTCCTTTGGCTGTTTTAATCGTCTGGATTAAATTATATATGAAAAGTTACTTTATGAAACCTTAACCTTCGTATATACAAGAAAATCTATTTAAGGTTAAATGGCGGAAGGCTCTGACAAAGAATAGCTAGGTAGAATCTGGCTGCAAGACTGGTGCCGTCTGTGTACGTGTGTACAGACGTTTGTGAGAATTTCGCGTTTGTGCATAATGAAACATTGTGATTTCTTGTTTTGTAATCAACACTATCATGAGAGAGAGTGGGAGAGAGAGAGAGGGAGAGAGAGAGGGAGAGAGAGAGGGGGAGAGAGAGAGGGGGAGAGAGAGAGGGG